ATATCTCTACCCCAGCGAATTCAGTGCCGTGCGAATAATCGGATAAGGTACATCACGTTCGGAATACTTGCTTGTTTTGTTAAGGAGGAGGCTTGTCGTTTTGCTGAGATTGATGCGGACTCGACGTGTTCCGCCCATTATAAGCCAAATGTGTTGTAAAAATAATACAATCGTGCGAGACATTTTATACAGGTAAAAATATATAAAATATAAGATGTAAAAAAGTACAGACACAACAGTGAAAAGAAAACAACACACACATTTGTGCAATTTTCCAGTAATAGGTCTTCAGAAACGCAGTCGAATGTCATACTATAGTCACAAGGAGTAAGATCCAGTACTTCCTTTTTGAATGCCGGTACAAATATGGACACCTTGAAAAAAATGCATACGTTACAATGGGTGTCAATATGAATTTAGTAATCTCTTCAAAAACAATGCTGTTAATATCAAAATAGTGCAGATTTGTCTCAAGCTCAATACATCTCCCTCAGCAAACCCATGTAGAAAGCAGGTTGCTGAAACGAAAGGTATATTGTTCAGATACCTTTGGTTTGTTTATTAAACACCTCAGAAGATCGGGGACAATGCAATAAATAACATTCATTTGCAGAGTTATTTTTTGCATAATTAGTTATTTTCCATGAATTTCAAATTCCGTTATATGATGCCGTCCTAAGCTAATTTGTTTCTCATATTGTTCATTTCATCGCTAAACCACACTAAATTTGATTAACAAGTACCTAAATCCTACCTATTAATAAAGAAGCCATATCTTCAACACTCAATTTTTCAAAGCAACTTCCACGGGCTACTGTAATGCTATTTTGCTCCCAAGTGTGATCCTCCTAAGCTCTGTATAAGCCAAAAGGATGATTAGCGAAACGTCGATTCCTCAACAAAAGACGCAGAAGATTTGTAAATAGTATTACAGTAGGGTGTACATAGGATAAGTATATTTTCAAGTCCAACATTATTTTTTCTAACTACCCACAATGGCCCGAGATAAAGGGATCCACGACACCTGTATCATAATAAGTATTTCCACTTTTTGTTAAAATATTATCAGTACAAGTAGCAGCTGTGGTAGTTACCCTTGTGTTGTCCTGTACAGTAACTTCAACTCTAAAGCTACATAAAATACACAAAAACTCAAACAGACCGCCTAAAGATTTTTAAAGTTTCGCCAAATTCGACGATTCAAAATCCCAAAATAAGAAATAAGATATCGAGATTGAAAGTATCAGCACTAATGCAGGTAAAAATATTGCTATTGATTAATCAGCATTTTGTAAAACAGAGAATGTTGTTATTATTATTGCATTTTTGTGTCTATATTCCACACCATTCAAAATGCAGTTCGATGAAGAATTTTGTCGTCCTTTCTTAATAGTGTCATGCGTGTCGAACCAATCTCGTATAAATAATATAGGTTTCGTTTTTCAACCCGAAATTGATGAATTTGAGTTAGATATTTTGGTCTTCGCGCTTGTTTATTGAGGTTACGACCATTTATCGTGTGCTGGACTATACAAGGAACATAGGTGATAGTGTATTATACAACAAGTTTGATAAAGGGCATTTCAGTCACGAGTTTTGTTTATTATGTCGTTAATAAACTTAAGCATTTTATCAATGTGTTGCATACTATAATTTTTCGATGACCATTAGTTTCTGGTTTTGCAAAACAGCATGGATACATTCACTGAGTGATGTGTGACATGGCCGTGAGAATTGATAAACGTTAAAATTGAAGATGTGGGAAAATACCTGATAGCTCCCAAATCCGTGAGCAAAATCCTCGAAACTGACGTCGTAAAATGACTTTTTTGCGCTCTAGATGGGTGTATAATTAGGCATTTTAAAGGAGAGAGTAGAAAAACAATAAAACATTAACAATAGAACTCTGCTAAGGGTGTCGACAATAAGGTATTTGTTTCTACATACAGATGAAAAAAAAAACGTAGAAATAATTTCACAGAAAAAGCAAGTCTAACATATATAATGCTTTCTCTTTGGATATGGCTAGATACAAACTCTATGCATTCTTTTACAGGCTTTAATTTAATGCAGATTTTGCAAAATAAAACTGAAATTTTCAGTTTCAGTTCAGTTCAGTTTCAGTTAAGCTCTGAATAATTAAACACGTTGATTGGTGAAACCTCAGCAAGTTCGACTCGGCAAAAACCGACGTAGGAGGAATCCAGAAGATTTGTAAATAATACTGCCTAACTTTTTAACATGCCTAGCCGATTTTAAATATTTAGTATTATCACTTATTTTTCAATTAAAAATTACATTTCATCTTTAATTTGTAATTTCGTAATAGCGTTATTGTAAATTATAATAAAAAATTTATCAATTTAAAAAAAAACAGAAATACAGATTTATGAACAAGAACAGAAATACAATACAATGAACAAGAAATATGTATATAATTAAGCTCACATTTTATATATGAAATAGATTAATTATTAAAACACACACTAAATAATAAAAAAATAATTTAACATATAATTAGTTAATTAATAATTAATAATTAGTTTATTGAATAAAAAGGATTTCTTAATAGAAAATCGTTTAATTTGTTTTTAAAAAACTTCGGCGAAACTCCAACCCAACTAGCGCTGGCACTGCCTTCCTCAGTATATCAAAATACGCGAGACTCAAACGTCATACTGGATATTTACTAGCAAAATAACGGTCGTGTGTAGTAGGTAGGATTTGAACCTACGCTGCGTAAGAGAATCTCTTTTGTAATGTATTTGAAAGTCGAATTACTTCGTTTGCATTGGTGGAAATAATTTTTCCCTAGTTGGTGAGAGAAAACTGCATTTTTAAGCAAAACAATGGTCATTAGCAATCGGTAGGTTTTGAAACTACGCAGAATGAGAGAGTCTGATTTCTAGTCGCGTTAATCGACAGGCTTAATCTATTTCAAAGGTAAATTGTTTCGGATGAAGTGGCAAACAAAAATCATTTGTAATATAAGGACAGATCGCAATTTTTATATAATAAAAGGTTTAATTAAATTAATTTGCACCTAAATTAAGTACGCACAATTTTTATTATAAATTAGTTACCTTCTTAATATTATTGGGCAACAACTGTTTTTTGGCATCATTTCTAAACATTGAATTAGACTGATTAATATTAAAACTAATAATACAAAAACCGCTATATTCTAGGAATAAAAGTATTATTATTATTATATTAAAATGATCTCTAGTCACAGGTTTGACTATGACTAAACGACTAAATCTATTGGAATCTTTTTCAGGATTTTACTCACTCAATTCACCTTAGACAGAATTGTCCCTCATTTAGTTAGCTGTTAATTAAAAAGAGTATGTTTTTAAAAAATAGCAATATTAGTCTGCTGAGCCTAAGCTGCGATCGAGAATCTGACCTATAGTCAGACTCAAAAGGCAAATAAATTACCGAGCTTCCCAGGCCTGGTAAAGATACATCTAAAGCAATTTAACCGATGCACTGTTGTCTATATCCCTGATATGTTTGACAGCGTTTTTGTTTTCTTTGCATTTACCATTAATTTTGAAAAGTCGTATAGAATGTAAAATATCATACAATTTTGACAAGCAACCGTCTGATATATGTGTGTTTCGAGGGTTGAATACGTGTTTAGGAATATCACTGCTTTTAACTCCCATCACCGACACGAGTACACGCGAAAGACTTCAAAGCTAAACATCCCCGGGGCTTGGGGAAAAGCTCCTATTTTTGTTTCGCATCGGATCCATACGCCGTATTTGAGAACCTTTTTTAGTCCGCATTCCGTTTCAATAAATGTCTGATTAGACGTCTGAAACTCTGAAATTAAGGTAAAAGACTTGCTTTTTGCAAGCCGTCGCACGAAGGGGACCTTGTTTCGATGGTGTTTTCGTTTTTGCCCCTTTCTGTTCGCCATTTTGGACGATGGACAAATAGGAATTTACGGTATTCAGACTTTTAGCCGATTATTTTATCAGAACACTCACCTAGATTAAACTACAATGGCTTATTTGGAAAAACATAAGCGCAACTTATCCCGTTGGAGTGGACAAAGGTTTTGAAACACATATTCAAGCCGTGCAATACGTTGGTAGGTTGAGTGAGCTAAATTTTTGATTCAACATATGCGATAACAGGAAAAAAGGTATTTTTAATATTTTTAGAGTTATATGTACTAAACTAATATAAAGACAATGTCTTTTTTTATCACACAACATTTTTGAATTAATTTTTGAGATGTCATAACATAAAATAAAATAACATTCTAAAAATTGCTGTGCCGTGTACCGCTGGAATACATTTTGCATAAATTAACAGATTATTAGCGGGAAATCTCCGAAAGTAAAATATAGTTTTTGTACTTCCTTCTGTAAAATTCCTACTTAAACACCGATTTAATGTTTTCGTTTCCCACGGATCGTTCGGATGTTTTCGGAGATTTTTCCGCACGGCTCGGATTTTGACGTTTGTCAATTCTGAAGGCCATGTCAGCCAATGTATTCATGTGGTTTTGCAAAAATGTACCCAAAAACAGAACTAAAACAAAAATATATAGTATGCAACACGTTGGATAATAGTATATTATGCAATAAGTGCGGTAAACGGCATTTGAGTCGTGAGTTTATTTGGCAAATGCAGTTTATAAGTTGCATAATATGCTATAAATTTTAAAGACAAAAATAATTAAGACGAAATTCTGTGTTAACTTAAAACATAAACCAAAAAAGTGTCAATTTTTTTTAGTTTGATCATAAGAATTTATGAGGTAATTAGTTTCTTCAGTAAGATTATCTCGATAAAGACAGTCACCAAACAAAGAGAACGTTGCTTCCATCCATTTGTATAGACGAGCACGAAAAAGAAAACAATCTCGATTACTAGCGGTCTATTGTAAAATTTGCCTCGCCGTTCATCGAGTATAGCAGTGCGTGTAGTAGTGGGCATAGTACATGCGTCGACCGACTCGCATTCTTCTTCTTCTTTTTCAGAAAATCGGCCAGGGCGCAAGGGGTACGACAAGCTGTCCGCCCACGACGACGTCACTAAGAACTCGTCGAAGACTAACGAGAATGAGGACAACAACAACGGAGCGTGCAAAGACAACTGCAAGGCGACCAATGGCAACACGTCCGCTGCCTTGACGGACTCGGATAACGAATCCACGTTCACCGATGTAGAGTACGACGATAACGATGGGTTTTCAGACGATTCAGATTACGGTAAGTTTATTTATTTATATACTTAAGAACGACATAAAAAAAAATACAAATCGCAATATTGTCGCAATCGGAAAGAAATTCACCTTCTAATTGAGCTAAAGTAGAGTTTTAAGTAAGTAATAATAAATCAGGGGTCCGCAACGGGAACCCTGAGGCACACCAGACATACCTGACCGAAGTTAGCTCGAGTTGGGAGATTGGCAAATCATCACCAGTTGGCGAACGCAATCACGAAATTAAAATTCTTGAATGTAATTCATTCTTCCAAAGTCTCCCTCAAAGATCTATACAGGATGTCCCAATAGTGTGTCAAAGTAATATATCTCATTTATTATTGGTTACAGACAAGAACAAAAGAAACAATTCAAACTTATTTTCCACTATACAGGATCATTCGTAAATATGTGGATAACGAAACTAATATTTTTTTAAACGGGACACCCTGTATATTATTCCATTGATAGGTGCACCCTTTTATAATTAATCACCCAATATAGGGTTGTTATGGTCTGTAACGAGTGCTTTCGGATACCTGGACTTAGTAGTTTTTGAAGTATACACATTTCTTAGAGCAAAGCTCCAAAAAGAAGTACCGCAATAAGCCAAGAAAAATAAAAATAAATAGGTAAATTTTGAATGTTGTAAGAAAAATAATTATTTCAAACCTGCCAATTTTGGATTAGTTTTCTCAATTAGTTGGTTGTTAGTTGCTTAACATGCAATTCAACCATGAATTTTTCGATGGAAGAAATTGTTAGCTACGAGAATTTACAGGCAACAATAACCCGATTGAAAGCAGTCCTCTAAAACTAAAACTCTTGAGAGTATGATGAACTTAAATTGTTGCTTAGGAGAAAAACGAAAAAGCCAAAACTGTAGTGAACTAGGAAAATGAATGTCACACGGTCACAGACAACAGAAAACCCACATGTCCCAAGACTTAATTTATTTAATTAATTTCTAAGAGTTCAGGGAAGAAATAAGATTCATTCTTATAATGTAGAACTTCGAGAACTCAATGAAAATGATTATCAAATTACAAATTACAATTACAAAAAAAAACAATTTTTGAGCAAAATGATGATAATGATGATTATTTACGGGTGAATCGACATTCCATAAAAATGGTTGTGTTAATGGGCAAATTTTTTCACTATTATGCTAAAAGTACACCCCATTTTATGTTGCCAGAGTCAGAAAAATTAGTCTTTTTTGAGGTGGTATATTAGGAAATAACGAGAATGTGATTCCTTTATACCATCCCCATCAAGTTACGAACTACTTAAATAATTTATGGCAAAAATTTTGTGGGAATATATTAAAGACCAAGTGCATAAAACTTTCCTTACAATAAAAGAGGACATGTAACAGTAGAAAAGAAAAGCCCTTTAAAGGGTTAGTCATGAAATGCTGACCAATGTTATCCAATCGTTTAAGGACCGTGTTAAAGTGTGTATCGAAGCCGGTGGGAGACATTTTGAGCAATAAATAAAGTGAACTTAATTAAACAGTTGTTTTTTGTTTTGCAAGTTTGTTCTTAGTTTTTAAGTGTTTCTTCTGGGACTATTAGCAATATTAATACTGCATTTTTAATATTGTCCCCAGCGTAAAAACTGTTTAAAATGTTTTGTTGCGTACTTCACTTATGCTATTATCGGAAAGAATTATCCTCAATTCGTCTCTGTAGACTTTTCACCTTCAGGTAATATTTATTTTGTTCTCAATCTTTTGTGATATTTGTGTAAAAATGCGTAGACCTCAAAGTTTATGTACCGGGAATGCATAATAAAATTGGAAGAGCATCAATAGGAGTAATTAATGGAAGTGTAATATAGAGCATCTTTAATTTTTTGAAAATTTATATTATTCAATTTGACTCACCCTGTACAAACGATTCGAATTATAAAATTGTTGGCATTACAGCTGTTGGAAACTGCGTCAAAAAATATAGGGTATTAAACACACAACATGTTTGACGAAATGGCCTTAAATACGAAAACACTCAGTATAGACCATAACAACCCTGGGTGATTGAGTATCAAAGAGGGTATCTCTTAAGACCAAATTATAAATACACATATTTAGAGTCACAAATATTTAAAAATAATTTTACTTGTTTCTTTCAGTCTCCTCTATAACTTGTGTCTATTAATTTGACATACCATTTGGACACCGTTTATAATGTTGAGTTAACCTGTGAAGATGCCAACAGGATAATTAGCGTAACATCAGCAAGTTTGATTTATCAACAACCAGAGAATCCAGGGAATTTGTAAATAGAGCTGGGAATCTGTAATTTTTATACTTTGGTCTAGGATGTGCTGCATTCTCTAGATTTGTATACAGACTTTGAGTCAGATTTCAATCCCATTCAAAAGCTAACTTCAGTCACGTTCCCGAGAAGACGTCTATGATAGTCAAGTTGTCGCGCTTTTCTCAAGCATCCCAGACAATTCGGAAAATCCCGCACTGCACTTCATTTAAACGTAATTGCAAGGCCCTTCGAATGCAAAATAGACCTCCGATTAAGAGTCATTATCCTATTCTTTTGATCTTCGTTTGCGGACGTATCTGTAGGTAAGACCACAGATTTTAACGACGAAATGATCCTCGTTACTAATGGGCGTAGAACTTCGAATACGATTAGATTGGATTAAGTTAAATAATCCATCCAGACGCGCATTTAATGAAGTAATTAAACTGACACGGGAGGTGCATTACGACTTTGCTTTGTTGAAATTTTCGGTCACGCAAAGCCTCTGTGGAAATGGTTTTGTTCTCAGTTGGCCCGACTTCATTGCAGGAAAAGAAACAGACATTAACATAATACTTCTTCAGCAGAGGACAAGATGAAGGGGCATAAGGGGTCAGTTCAAAAGACATGTGGAAAATCAAGAAAACGTATAATAAAATATTAAGAATTTTCTGAAAGTGACTTAACTTAAACTGACGAGTGATTTGAGACCAATATCTCTACAAACAAAATGCAACGAGATAAAAGAGATACAAAAAATGATGAATTCAACTTATAAAGGCAAGTTAAAGACGTCACTTGCATTACACAGGCGAAATAAAAGCAATACTCTTATGGATAATGAAGGGCATACGCTATCAGAATCAGAAGTAGTGGAAGAATGGGAAAAGTATATTAAAAATATATTTGAAGATAACAGAGCACAAACACTAAACAACAAAACAAGAGAAAAGTTTTGTAAAATATTACAAATGATCTATTCTTATGTATGGATGCAAAACATGGACGCCTAATAAAGAAATGCTTAACAAAATCGAAGCATTTGAAATGTGGACACACAGAAGAATGCTTAAAATATCCTGGACCACATGAACCATAAATGAAGAAGTTTTTCAATGAATGGGACACGACAGACTACTATCAAGCGACGAAAACTTGAATACCTAGGCCATATCACTAGAGGACCTCGATATGACTTTCTTCGACTTATCCTTAACGGAAAAATAAATGAAAAAAGTGGATTGGGCGTAAGAGGCTTTCATGGCTAAGAAACCTGACACAATGGACAGGCCTTAACGCCCATGTAGCACAAGGTACGGGAAAGGTATGGAGAGATCGTGAACATGCCAGTCATCAACGTTCAATAGGGACATGATACTTGAAGAAGAAAAGATTTCGACACTACATAAGGTACTGGAAAGGGTGACTCGTGAACCAGTTCCTCCGAAATACTGTAATCCTGATCTGTGATGTTATGTCTAATAAGGGGACCACAGAAGAATATTCCATTATTAACCTCACTAGAGTGCAGTATACAAGTAAAGTAGAATGATTGTAAAAATGAAGGAAAAAAATGTATAATAAAAGCTTGCGTAAATAGCAATAAATTAAATTCTATATTTTTAATTAGTTTCTCGCAAACTTGCAAAACCCGATTCTAAATTAATGCTAGCAAGTTTCCCCCACAAATTGTTATTTTTCCCATAATTGCTAGGAGTGCGCATTTTAAACCTTGTCATACCTTATTTATTTTAAAGGCTCTCGACAGACGTTTTGATATCTCGCCATCCCACTCCTGAACAAAACCAGCCGGCTCGAACGACGAGAAATATTTCCTCGTACAGTAAGAATAAATGCTCCCCAGACCGGAAAACCTATTCATATCATACGTTTCCATGTCATATATTTGGATGTACGATTGTTCGCCTCATTTTATTTAAATATCGCTCTAGACGTACGAAGCTGATACGTATACGCTACGGTGAAAATACGATTATATCTACGCGTATACCTAAACGAAGTTGTTTCGTTTGTTTCGTTTTTTTTTGTTTCGCCGCAATCCTGAAAGTCCCACAGGGTCGTAGGGCTTCAAATACCGACGCCAAATGTTAATGAGCAAAATTTACCCAAACGCGGTTTCATGGAGATCATTGGTTTACTTTCCCCGTCGTTCCAATTCGTCCAACCGAATCGAGAAACTAAATTTACGTGAACAGATGATTCGGTTTTTGGGAACTTTGCCTCGTGTATTGAATATTTCCAAAAGAGTTTCCCAATAAGGTAGTCATTATACAGATGTTTCATAATAAAATCCTTTTCATAATAAAATCCTTGAGGTTATGATTGTAAGGAAAACAGGACTTCTTCTTCTTCATGTTGCGTCTCCATTATCCATTATCATTCTCGCAGATTGCGCAACGTAGGTGACGTTGTGCCCACAATCTTCCCCTGGATTATTTTGGAACCCGCAGATAGATAATTTTTCTTTTCTTTACTTCCTTTAACACCTCTAACTCTTTGTTCATTCTGATAGGCTCTCCTTCGTTAGTATCGTATCGTATACTCCACCAACGATATTCTGAGCATTTTTCTGTAGGTTCGCATCTCAAATACATCTATTACGCTTTCGTATATTCTTTTAAGGGTTCGAGCTTCTACTCGATAGTACAGCTCCGGAAATACACTTTACCATGCAGATTCTAAGATCTGCGACCTGAGTCGGCTGCATAGCATCTTTTTCATTTTG